GCTGGAAGGGGTCGCTTCGCTTACCCGTAACTCAAAGGGGCCCCGCCAATCTGAATAGCCTAGGGCCCGGAGACTTCTTAATCTGGCCCTGCCTGTATCTAATTCTTTTGCTGTCCTGGGTTCAGACGTCCCTACTTCAACACCTCAGTCTGTCCTCACTTCTTCGTGTTCTCCCTCACAAACCCCGGTATCGACAAGACCTCGTACGACACCTCCTCCCAATCGTCCCTCTACTTCTCAGAGGTCCAACAAATCTCCTTTAACCCCTCCTTCCCTTCATCCACCTCCACATTTTACCTTCCCGGTCTCTGTACCTAGGTCTTCCCCTTTCACTGGCTCCGTTACAGGTGTGGAGGTTCATCCTCCTCCTCGTACTGTGCCTTCCTCCCCTGTCCCCTCCCAAGTTTCTTCCTTTTCTGCCACCTCCGGGGTTTCTGCCTCTTCTGTCCCCTCCCACACTTCTCCAGTTCCCTCTACCCTTTCGCCCCCCCCCCCTACCTTGGTACAGTCCATTACAGCTCCGATTTTTACTCAAACTCCTCCTCCTTCCATCTCCAATATTGTCTCCCATACGATGTCTCTGAACTCCGAAATACTTCAAGCAATCTCTGAATATATTGCAGAGACCAAACCATCAATGGACAATGATCTACCCTCTGTTCCTTTTCTTTCCTCTTCTTCATCTGCGCAACTCCTTTCTTCACAACGCACCATTCCTTCGCTACTTGAACGTTTCCCTTTGCCACCGCATGTGGACTTTTCTAACCCTTCTAGTCCGTAGGTACCCTTACCTGCGGATTTCAGGTATCTTTATCATTGTCAATCATGGCCTATTTACAGAGGAATATTCGCGGCCTCAGGGGTAATCGGGGTGAGCTTCAGATGTTGCTCTCCCAGTTTTCCCCTGTTGGTGTTTGCTTACAGGAACCAAAATTACACTGCCGTTATCTCTCCCATCTCAGGCTATAGTTTATTGTATTCTTCAGATCCTTTTCCTGATGGGACCTTTAATGAAAGTGCCCTTTTTCTACGCACTGATATTCCGTACCATCAGCTATTTGTTCGCACTTCGCTGCATTACACAGCAGCCCGTATCCACTTGCATAGGTGGTATACACTCTGTTCTTTGTATCTCTCTCCTTCTCGGGCATTATCTATCCAGGATATTGCCTTTCTTGTTTCGTCATTACCGCCACCACTTCTATTACTTGGAGATTTTAATGCCCATCATTTCCTCTGGGGGGGGGTCTCACTGTGATTCCCGTGGCATTCAGTTAGAGACTTTTCTTGCTACCCACCCGACCCCCTCCATGTTTTAAATACAGGTACTCACACCCATTTTGATCCTCGGACTCATACTCTCTCTTGCATCGATCTCTCAGTCTGCTCTTCCTCTGCCGCATTAGACTTCACCTGGTCTGTTCTCCCGGATTTACATGACAGCAATCATTTCCTAATCATTCTTACTTCCCCTTCATATTCACCACCTCTTCGTAACCCACGCTAGCAATTTGATCAGGCAAATTGGAACTTTTACTCACAACTAACTGTTTTTAGTGAGGTTCCTTCTTCGTCCTCTGTTGATGAGCTTTTACACCTCTTCTCGTCCTCCGTTTTAACCGCAGCTTCTCATTCTATACCCCAAACTTCGGGCAGGCATTCTCAGAAATGCGTGACTTGGTGGTCTCCTGCTTGTGCTCATGCAGTACGTTTGAAACGCGCTGCATGGGGCAGGTACTGGTACAATAGAACCACGGAGAGACTTCTTGATTTTAAGCAGAAGCGTGCGATCACTCGCCGTGTCATCCGTGATGCTAAATGCACTTGCTGGCGAGATTATGTCTCCACCATCACCTCTGCTTCCTCTATGAGTGCATTCTGGAAAAAAGTACAAAAACTGAGTGGTAAATATTCTCCTGACCCGGCTCCTGTTCTGCGGGTTGCCGGTGTTGATATAGCAAACCCACTAGATATTCCCAATGAAATTGGCAATCATCTGGTCCGTATTTCTCAGGGGCTCCTTCTATGCCCCTCGTTTCTTTCCTCAAAGTCTGCCAGAGAGTTAGCACCCTTGGACTTTTCTTCTCTCAGAGAAGAACAGTATAATGTGCCTTTTACACTTCAGGAACTGGAGGCAACACTCTCAGCTTGCCGATCATCGGCAGCTGGGCCCGACGACATTCATATTCGTATGCTACAACATTTACATCAGTCAGCTCTTGCAGTCCTATTACGCCTTTTCAATCTTATTTGGTCACAAGGAGTTCTTTCACAGCTGTGGAAATCTGCCATTGTTCTCCCTTTCTGCAAACCAGGTACTACGGGACATGAAGCCTCCCACTATCGTCCCATTGCTCTTACCAATGCAGTTTGCAAAGTGATGAAAAGCCTGGTAAAAAGATGTTTAGTGTGGTATTTAGAGACACACAACAGTCTCTCCACTCGTCAATATGGCTTTCGTAAGGGCCGTTCTACCATAGACCCCTTACTATGCTTGGATACGTATGTTCGTAATGCCTTTGCAAATAACCACTCAGTTATTGCCGTATTTTTTGACCTTGAGAAGGCATATGACACAACTTGAGGTATAATATTCTGGCCCAAGCCCACTCCTTAGGCCTTCGAGGCAATCTACCATCCTTCCTTAAGAACTTTTTAACTGACAGACATTTCCGTGCTCGGGTTAATAATGTGCTCTCCCCGGACTTTATCCAAGCTGAAGGTGTCCCCCAGGGATGTGTTCTGAGCACAACACTTTTTCTCCTTGCTATAAATGATTTGGCCTCTAGTTTTCCATCCAATATTTGGTCATCACTCTATGTTGATGACTTTGCTATTGCCTGTGCAGGCGCTGTCTCCTCATTACAGTTTCTCTCCAGCATGCGGTCGACCGTGTTTCCAATTGGGCCACCACACATGGGTTTAAATTTTCCAGTACCAAAACTCACCAAATTACTTTCACTAGACGCTCTGTCATCTCCGATCATCCTTTATACCTCTATGGCACCCGTATCCCTGAACGTGATACAGTCAGGTTTCTAGGCCTCCTCTTTGACCGTAGGTTATCCTGGAAACCTCACATTACCTCTCTGAAAACAACTTGTCACAGCCGGCTGAACCTTCTTAAAACCCTTGCTCATCTTTCATGGGGAGCTGATCGTCGAACTCTTCTTCGCCTACATTCCACCCTCATTTTATCGAAACTTGACTATGGTGACCAGATCTATTCAGCTGCCTCTCCTGCTACTCTGTCTAGCCTCAACCTTACTCATCACCAAGGATTACGTTTATGCCTTGGTGCTTTTCGCTCTTCCCGTTGAGAGCCTCTATGCAGAAGCAAACGTTCCATCCTTATCCGATCGCCATGATGCCCATTGCCTTCGCTACTATGTATGCTCTCAAGATCTCCGCAATCCTTCCATTTATAGAATGGTCACCGATATTAGTAGACATTCTTTATTTGTTCGTTGCCCCTTCTCTCTTCACTTACATTCGCTCTTGTCTTCTCTTCAATTTCCACCTTTCTATGTTCATGTAGCATCTCACTTTTCCCTACCCCCCTGGGAAGTTCTAGCTGTTCGAGTCTGTTCTTTCTCACTCCCTTGCTCGAAAGCCCAACTGTCTACGGTAGGTAGGTAAGACACATAGGCAACTTTATTCAACTTTATTTTCGGAATAAAGCTGCCTATGTGTCTTACCTACCAACCTGTCGGTATTGTATACCATTTTGATGTTTGTCTACGGTAGCTTCCCGCTCTCTTTTCCTTGACCACTTCCACTCTCATTCTCATGCCGTTGCAGTGTACACAGATGGCTCTAAGTCTTCCGACGGCGTAGGATTCACAGCAGTGTTTCCGGACAGCGTCGTACGAGGGCATTTACTATCTTCGGCTAGTATCTTTACTGCTGAATTGTATGCCATTCTTACAGCACTTATCCGTATTGCATCTATGCTTGTGTCATCATTTGTGGTTGTCTCAGACTCCCTTAGTGCTTTACAAACTATACAGAAATTTGATACACCTCACCCCTTAGTCCTCCGTATCCAACTTTGGCTACGCCGCATCTTTACCAAGCATAAAGATATTTTTTGTTGGGTCCCTGGTCATGTTGACGTACAGGGCAATGAACAGGCAGACACTGCTGCGCGGTCAGCAGTACGACCTACCAGTTTCATATAGAGGTGTTCCATTTATGGACTACTTTGCTGCAATAGCTACCCACCTTCACACCAGTTGGCAACAACATTGGTCTACTCTACTCGGTAACAAACTTCAATCTATTAAACCAAGTATAGGTTACTGGCCGCCTTCTTGTCACCAGTGCCGAGGTTGGGAGACTACTCTCTCCCGTCTCCGCATTGACCATACTCGTCTTACTCATGGATATCTCATGGAGAGGCACCCTGCTCCTCTGTGAGAATTGTCAGGTTCCATTATCAGTCAGCCACATTCTGTTAGACTGCCCACTTTATCAATGAGCACGCAGAATTTACCTCAGTCGTCGTCTTCGCTCCACTGCTCTCTCTTTACCTTCCCTTCTCGCTGATGAACCCACCTTTCATCCGGACTCTCTCATTGACTTTTTGACAACTGACTTACTTCACAAACTCTGATGATACCTTCAGCCCTTTCTACCTTGATCTCTTGCTACCCTCTACCTTGCACTATCCCCTGCCCCACTGTTTTCTGTAACCTACTGATCGCCCCTCCCCCCTTCTGCCGCCCAATACCCTCGCTTCCTTTCCTACCCTGCAGCGCTGTACAGCCCTTGTGGCTTACCGCTTCTTTTTGATTATAATAATAATAGTTCAGGCATCTAGAGAGACCAGAGCTGTATCTCTTTCCTTCCCTCTCTCATCACCACACACACACACACACACAAAAGGTGTTCATTTTTGTTGGGGGGAGGAAAAAAATGGTTCAGGAATCAACCTGCCATCCTCATGGAAAAAGGTGATTTAAGGTACCCAGTGTTTTGGTAAAAAATAAAACAAGATATAGCTTTGTTACAAAACAAGATCTATTCTTTCCATACCATCAATACTGTATATAAACAACAGGTTTGCAAGCTGCTAAAATATGATTAAAATTATTTACATACCAAAAAGTTAAAATGAAAAAGCAAATTTAGTGGAGATTGTGATTCTCATGAATTAAGTGTTGATAATTATGTAATATCTGCTTCTATCATTATTCTTGTAGACAAAAAAAATTGCAGAGATTTATTGAATAAAAGATATCAGCAAGTACAATATAAAATATTACAAAAGATATACTAAAAAGCATGAATATTTTACATTTTCTTTGAATATGCTAAAAACTTTTCACTGACTAGACAACTGTGGTCCAACCTCCTGAAATGCTTACAAAATAGAGGTCTGCATTAAAATAATAAATTTATACATTTTACCCCGACAATGCAGTTTTATGGTGCAAAAGTAAGAATGACGCCTGTAAGCACATACCATATTGTAAAACAATGCTGATACAAATTCTCAAAAAATATTCTCTCAGATAATTTAGTCATGGTGCTGATAGAACAAATTTGTGGTTCTTGTGAATATATGAAATAAAGCAAAGCTGAAATTAATACCAAGAACACAATCTGTGTAGGTTAATTAACAGGAGTATTAACAGAGTATATCGTAAACCAATAAAGAAATACACAAAACATTCAGAGTATTTTAACAACACATACAATATTATAACAATCTTTAAAAAATATTTGTCAGGCAACCAAAACATTTGTAAACACTTCATTTGGCTGGGAAATCCAATTCTTTAAAGATAGTCTGCATTAAATCCTGCAATACACATGGTAACATTAAACTTGCAATCACAAAAAAAAAAAAAATGGCTAAAAGAGAGATGCTGAAACATTGTTATCACAGTTTTTTTCTTTGGTAGATCATTTACTGCTTTGTAATTTAAAAAAAATATCCCTGGCAATTGCCCAGTACTCACACCAGTTATTGGAAGAGAAACAAAAATGTAATCAGTGATTCTGAGTACAGAGCAAAAAATTACTAGGGCTTTAAGCACCTTACATTCGAGTTCAAAATCCAGCACAAATCTCATTTCTAAAGGTTGTGTATGTAGTGTGTCTTCTCAATGACTATCAAAGTATTAGAATCATTGGTCTCACCACAGGTATCATTACTGTATTAGGAAGGCATCAACCAAAAATACCATTTACCAATGCATGAAACCATTAGTGTACCTATCATGCCATTTTAGTAGACCTTTTGCTTGATATCAAATCTACAGAGCTCAAGAAACACAGCTACTAGCCACACAAAATAATGTCTGAAATATATAATTTAGTAGGCTGCAATTAACACACTCTACCCGGGTGTTTGACAAAAGCAACTACTTGAGACCGCCCCAAATACAAAGATGTGGAAAAGCAATGTACTGTGTAAAAGGAAATGCTAAACACTTTACTTTCTCATTAAAAAATGTTAAACAAAAGTATCTAGCATATAAGTAGTTTTTAAGATAAATCATATAAAATCTGATTACATTTTAATATAAAGCATTTTCCAATAAAAAACTAAACCTGACAAAAAAAAAATCATGAAAGAATGACATGTATAAACTCCTAAACTTTAAGTGATTAAATTTTTGCTTCTGATTAAAATTGTGTGCATTTAATAGTATTTTATAGATTTCGAGATTAAGAAGCCTAACAATTTCTTTAATGAATACATTACATTTCATCCCAATATTAATCTCTTTACAACATATAACAGCCAAAATCTAATAGGATGAAGAAGCACGTGACTCCACAGTCAAAATATATTGCAGCTTGCAAACTTGCTGATCTTCCTTGTCTCTCCTTATAAACACTGTCCTTAGAACCTTCTTGCCATTCCATTTTTATAGTCTGCTATCCCACATAATCTTTCTATTCACACTTGTTTGGAATTACTAAAAAGACTCCAATCTGTGTCCACTTTCACAATCTGTAAAAATGCCATTGTACATTTCTGCTGTCCTTTGCCAAGGCTGACACCCTTTCCAGCACACAACTTATCTATTTCAGTTTTCACACTAAATCCTCAAGGTTCCAAAAATAGTGATTCAGGGTTCATCTTGACACTGCCAACTGGAAATATCCCAACACAACCATGTAAATGTTCATAACTTTCAGATTTCATCGCTGGCTATATGCCATAATTGTCAAGTCTAGAAAATCCAGTGATTTTCATCCTGCCAAATTTCACATGTACTTCAATCCTTAACTCACACCAGCATATTTGTTCCCTTATTTTCCACTCAAGAGTGATGGGTTCACCGACACTCAAAAAATTAATTCCTTACAGTTAAAGTTTCTTAAGTAAGTAGAAATCACTGTTCATTCAAAATATTATACCTATTAGGAGCAACATGCCCCAATAGACCCACCTCGGTTACAAAAGAATACATACAGTATTTTACAATGCAGCAGTATATCAGTTATCTAGTACACAGTCAACCAGAATTATGATTATGCCAGACATCAGATCTTAATGAAGATGTGTGACCTATATTAATTTTATAAACTGTTGATTTCATCAGCAGCAATTGTACACGTTGACACCTCCATATCTAATGATCCTGATAATGACAATTCTGGATGAAATGTATTACTGGAATAGGTGTGCAATACCCTTTAATATTGCTGCATATAATAAAAGTTCCAATTACCCTATACGTTTTTACTTCAGTTGTACTCAAAAAGGACATTAAGCCCCACTTTACAAAAATGTATGGAATTGTTTTCTGAAATATTTGCCTCTTTTACTGATATAGGTATTTTTTAAAGATACAGCAGCAAAATAAGAATAAACTAGATACTTCTTTAACAGTAGTGTACATTCGATGTTGATGAGACTGCGCTGACGTTTTAGTTTCTTTAACAAAAGTGACATAAATGACATAAAAATTAATTTATTTTAATTATTTTTAAACAAATATTACTCATCACTTTAAAGGAACAAAGTCCCAAATCCCAATATTGCACTTAATTTTAAATGACTAGCAAAAGATTACATATGTTAAATCTTAATAGTTGAACAATTTAAAATGACAACATAATCTATTAGAAGGTAAGTTATTAAGACATTGAACAAAATAATGTGCCAATAGAAAAACTATATGCCAATAATGAAAAAAATATTATATGCCAATAATAAAAAACAGTTTTAAATGTCTTGATACAAATTCTCTGGCGTTATGAAACTGAAATGTACGAATAGCAGCCTCAAGTTACTTGCTTCTTCAGTGATATTTTTAAGTACCCATGTATTCTTAGGAAAAAATTATCAGTTTGGTGACTACTCAACATGTAAAGAGGAGCAATGCCACTGGCTAAAATTCCAGCTTTCATTTCCATCACAGAAATAAATATTGGGCAGTGTATACTTCCATATATCCAAGAAATCAGGTTTTCTTGTTTGTGTTCAGCTCTCATAAGTATACCAAAATGTTTGAATGACTGAACATTACACATGACGAAAATGCTTGATACTAACAGCATACAGTAAAATTTCTTATAAAATCTAGCTAATGCTTCAATCCCAAAACAATAGTCTATCCTCCTAAACACCTGAGTGGCTTCATTCATCATAATGATTATTGGCCTTAAACTTCTAAGAGCCCAAATCCAGATTGAGAACTTTGGAATCTCTTTACCATGGGAAGAATAACACCACACAAGTACTCGGTATATTGTATACTGCTTGAGGATCAAGGCATGAAACGCTTGCCAAACATTTACGCAGCTCAACCCTGCCCTTCCAGTCACTTCAAGCTTGGATTTTACATCTAAATTGGACGTAAATGACAGCAATGGAGGACCTGGCCCTAATTCTCAAGACACACTCAAGTTTATATGGACATGAGTATAATTTCACTCATTAAGTACTGTACTAAAATTTTAAAATTTCACCTAGAAAATTAATCCTAATATGCAAAATTTTTCATGAAATAATTTCCCTCAAGCATGAATTTTGAACTAGGGCTGAGAGGGGGGTCTAGAAACACGTGAAAAGAGTGGCAGTTGTTAATTGGTGGTGTGATGGACGTTGATATGAGATGCTAACTGCAGTTCATTAACTTACTTATACAAGAGTGCTTCATGACACAACTCATCATTAGTAATTCAATCACATTCATTTATGAATACTGAAAATAGAGAATTAGAGAGGCGAGATGCAAAGAAGAAATAAAAAAAAAGAAAGGGGCAGAGAAAGGGCAAATGAAGGTAAGTGGGGAAAAGAAAAGAGAAGATTGAAGTAAAAAAAGGGAAATGGGGGAAAAAGAGGAATGAGAAAAGAGAGAGAGAGAGAGAAGGAAGAGGGAGGAGAAAAACTGATATAAAGGAAGAGGAAGATGTAGAAGAGAGGGGAGAGGAGGAGATAGGAAAGGAGGTAAAAGGGAAAAGGAAAAAGATGACTGCAAGAGAGAAGGGTAAGGGGAGGGAGGAGGGAGAGGAAAGGGAGGAGAGAAAAAGGGGGAGAGGAGAAAGATAAAGAAAGAATTGAAGGGAGAGAGGGGAATTGGAATGAGAAAAAAAGAGGTGAAAGTAGAGAAAGAGGGAAAGATGGAGAGAAAAGGGGAAGAGACATTAGGCAATAGAAAGATCAGAGGAAAACAATGGGAGGGGAGAGCAAGGAGAGGAGACAGCTTAAAGAGATATGGGGGAAAAAGGATAAAGAGGAGCAGAAGCCAAAACAAGAAGGGAAACTTATCTAATATTTCATACACTCATATGCTCTTAACTTTAACCAAATTTTGTATGAAGAATTTCTCATACGCATCTGAAATGCTCTAAAACTGTTGCTGGTGTTGCTATATGTATACACAAAACAGAAATATGCCAATAATAAAATAAAAATTTGCTAATACTGCACATAAAGTTCCATTACAAAACACTTTCAAGAAACTTAGAAGAGAAACATTCTAAAATCAGTGGTGACAAATAACATTGACACACTAAGTTTGAGCTTTATATAAATAAAATTATTATGGAGATTTAGCATACCCAAATAAGTATTTTTTTTATCTTTGACTATCTTGTACTCCACAAAATCTGACAAACTGTTTAACTGAACATTTCCAGAAAACATTAATTTTACATTATTTATTGCAAGATACTTTCTACAAAGTAAACATTCAAACATTAACATACTTCCATATTAAAAAATAAACAGAACAAATGTTAAGCTTCACCAACCAAAATTTATTTAGCAATTTAGTATAATAAAAAATTCATTAATATCCCTCTTCAATAGACTGACACTAAAACATTGACTGATTTCTGGGGGAGGATTATTCCAATTGTAATGAATGCAGTATGACAAGACTTCTCCATACCTTCAAAGAATTCAATCGTTTGACTTTTAAAGGACTATTTTTGTTTTAGAAATTTTGATACCAATTCCTTAAATCTTTTTGAAGGTCTTGTATAAAAGATGTTTACCTCTCTCAGAATGTAAACACTTAAGAGGCCTTACTTTCTGGCTAAGCATAATTACTAAAACATCTTTTAACAAGATAATGAGTAAGTTATATGAGGGATTTGCATATTTTATCAAAGCACACTTTCAATTTGAGTCATTCAAGCACTGGATTAAAAATTAAGAACTTTTCTACTTCTCTTCACGTCTCCCTATCACTGGTTAAAAAATTGTCTTCAAGTGTAAACTATCTTTACTAATGTTTGTCAATTTTGGCTACAAGTTTATATTTTACATAAATTACTAATAAACCTTATTTGTTAGCAATATCACCAATCATGGCTCTGGAACTCTAGAACTATGGACCACTGTTTACTCACCAGGAGTAGAGAGTATGAGAGAAAGAGTGAGCACATATAACAAATCTAAAATAGACATGGAAATGAAAATAAAATTGGTTCACTGAGATGGCACCTCAAGTGGCTTAGAATATAAATGTGAAACTCAGCTGAGGGGCCACATTTCTGAACATATGGCAATCTGTCAAAACCTTTAAGTTACCCTTCACTCATACAGCTGGTTGTGTCATTAGGATGTAGGCATGTCTGCAAACGTTTCTGCATGACAAAAAAGAGTCTGTACACATGGCAGGTGTGCTGGGATTTTCCAATGCACTATGAATTGGATGTGGAGTCTGATGTGTGACCATTGTCCGTATATGAAGCCGTAGAATTGCCGTTCACAACAAAGGAAGTTCCAAGGCCATATAGATGACCACAGTATTTTGCATCGTCAATCTTGTCCTCAAAAAACATCTTGGAGGAAAGGGGATAATTATTTGTTAATGTAGAAAAGTTCAATGAAAAATCTATCATTAAAACTTTTAATTTTAATATCTAAAAAAAAAATTTCTGATCTAGGAAAATCCTATTACATACTATTTAAAACTCATAAACATTCACTAATTGGTATCATTACACTAATTCTTTAGTGTGCATTTATGAATAATCTTAATACTATTCTTATTCTGTCCACTTACCAGTGATTCAAAGGAATACAATCATAAATATAAAAAATATAAAAATTAGATACATACATCAAAAAGAAAAATAATGCTATTTTTTTTTTTAATTTGGTTAGCATCAAACTATTTACTAGATAAAACTTTTCATGTACTTTTTTCTAAGATTAGCCTATATTTCATAAAATTTATTTATATGCAAATTTCTTTCTTTGACACACTAAATAACATTTGTAATCTATAAAGCTATAGGTAGAAGACCAGACACAAAGCATAGACTTGAGGGACAGAGGTTGCAACCTTCACTCAAAAGTGAATGAGCACCTAGCATATCACCAGAGGCTCACTTCAGGCAAATAATTTCCGCAGGCAATGCCCATACAGCAATTCTAAGAGAAGCCTTCAGGAATCTCAACAAAGAGTCATCCTGGGCCCTTTATAAATACAACATATGTCAGGCCCATCTTAGTGTATGAAGCAACAACATGGTAACCACATCTGAAAGAGCAAGTTAAAAAACTGGAGAAAGTGCAGATGTAAAAAGGCTAATTCTAGAGTTACAGGGGTATGAGTTATGAGGGGAGGCCAACAGAATTGAATCTAACAACCTTGGAAGACAGAAGAACCAGGGAAGACATGATAACATGCAAAATATTCAGAACTAATAGGGTAGACAGGGATAGGCTGTTTGAGAGGTGAAAAACAGGTACTCATGGGCACAGCTGGAAGTTAAAGACTGATGAGTTATGTCACAGGAATGTCAGGAAGTATATCTTCAGTCCCAGGGTGGTCAGGAAGTGGAATGACCTCAACAAGGATGTGGTGGAAGAAGGCTCCATATATAGTTTTAAAAGCAGGTACAATAGGGCCCACAAAGCTAGGAGAGAGTGAATCTGTCAAGTGGCAAGTTGAGAGGCAGGGCCAGGAGCTAGACTCTTGTATCCACATACAGGTGATGACATATAAGTAAATACCGAATAAATGCACTAACCATTCCAACACTTTATCACCACTTACTTTCAGAATCTGTTTTAGGTCATACAGTCATCACCTGAGTAGTTAAACCATAATACATTGTGTGGACCCTGTCGACCTTAGATTTTTTCAAATGTATGAATACATGTAAGAAGACCCAAAGAGTTGTCCTAAGGTAAAAACTATTGGCAGGTGGCAGATTTGTGGGTACAAAAAATGGTATGTACTAGTACATTGAGCACAGTACCACCACCTGCATACTAGTATATCAGATACATAGTTAAAGGGTTAATATATGATAGTGTAAACATTTTCTCAGGCTTTTATATGCATTTGAAAGTGAAATATGACACTGTTTCATTTTACAGCAGTAGCCCAGAACCTAACCTACTGTATAAGTGGGGGCCTGCCTGTCTTAGTCTTGATATATGGAAAAATAATAGTCTTAGACAATAATACATACCTCTTTCATTTTGAAGAAAGCTGCACCTGTAAGGAGTGAATCTGACCCAGCTTGATGCTGAGGACCCACACGCTCTAGTTCTAGCTGTTCTGCAACTTCCTGCAACCCTCCTTTCAGGTTCTTGCAGGATTTCATCAGGTACTGGAAAAATATGCATATATATACATTACAGATGTTTGAAAATTAAAGTTCTGCAGGATTCAAAGTTGGAACTTCTAAAATTTGAATAAGAAAGCAAGATATTAAAACAGATACAATGTATTGTTACACCTAGTTATCTTAGTATGATTATAAACTGCCCTAGCAAATTGCCATAGCAAATTAAAATTTGCTATAGCATAAATTAAACAATGAAAACAAGGAGTACCCATATTCAGGACTACACGAACATGAATCACATTTTACCAACTGTGCCTTCAGCACGTGTGAATACTGGAACTCACTGTTTTACTTTTTCAACCCCATTTTGATAAGCCCTAAATGGCACCCCAAAGTTCCAAACCCTCTGTCACTTAGTATTTCTCAATGGAAGCCTATGTACACAATAACATGAATATAACCCTTTCAGGGTTTGGCCCCGTATTGGTAGGTTTTAAAGTCCCAAGGGTCCATGACGTACTGTACTAAAAAATTTCTATTTCCCTTCAAATTTTGTGAGAAAAAGGGGTGGCCCTTACATATGAAAAAAATGGGTCTAGGGTGGTCATTTGTGCGCAGTAAAAAAAAAAATCTTTGCAGCACACAGTGATAATGAAAAAAAAAAAACCTTTGCCTTTGTTTTTGGTTTAAAAAACGGGGAATTTGCACTATATTTGTAGGGTTTATTTTTGTTGTTTTCCCTGTTTTCCTGGTCTCATTGTATAGAATGGAAGACTTATTACGGGGAAAATTTTTTGATGATTTTGAGGGGTTTTTTAAAATTTAAAAAGGTCCCTTAAAAATTTAAAGCTCAAAGTACAAAAAATGTTCGTTTTTAAACCAAAGTTAAAAAAGAAAACAAATCATGCTAAGCGCCCAAATACACGTAAAAATGGCGGTCTAATTTTTTATAAGGGGCCCCGATATTATTTATACCATTTCTGCACTAAGGCAGAAATTTGGGCAAAACAGAAAATCTTATTTTTTTTGTGAGAAAAAAAAATTCAAAGGGGGAATGCAAAAGAAATGTAAGGGGGGGCCTGGGGGCGGGGGACAAAGGGAAACAGGGGGAAATGTTTTTTTAGTCCCGGGAAATGTCTTTTTGTTTTTTTTGGACCCTTTTTGGGAAAAATTGGCTTTTTTTGAAATTTGTGTGAAACGGGCCCAAAAATTGCAAAAATTTTTGCCCACTGAGGGTTTATTTTAAATTTTGGGGTAAATTGGGGGTTTTTCTTGTATCATTTGATAGAAAAAAAAAATGGAGTTCTAGCGAAATAGTTACGATTTTTTTCAAATAGTAATAGGAATTGGCCAAAAAAATAGGGTTCAAAGTGGGCCAAAATCGCCGTTTGCTTTTAAACATGTCGGGCCCCGAAAAACCTCGCGAGAGAAAAATTCCTTTAATTTTTCCCATAAAATTTAATTACTTTTGGTGTCATTATGATCGAGAAAAGTTTCTCTATCTTTTCATAAAAAAAAAAAATTTATTTTTTTTTGGGAATTTGGGGGACCCTGAGAACAAGTGTCTGAGGGGGCCCGGGGTGGACCCTAAAGGGGGTTTTAAATTAAAGGGTTTACTATGGGTGGGAAAAAGCCAAGAAGGTAGTTTTAATGCAACCCTTTATTGACAATGTTTTGCCCCCACAGGGGGGCCATATCAAGAACAAAAAAAATCTACCGGGAAAAGTTTGGATATATAAAAATTATATATATATATATATATAATATATTTTATATATATTTATTATATAAAATATATAAAAAAAAATATATATTTTATATTATTATATTAATAAAAATTTTTAATAAAAAATTATAAATATAAATATATATTTTTATTTTTAAAAAAATTTTAAATTATAATTTTAAAAAAAAAACCCAAATTTTTATATTTTATAAAAATTTTAATTCTATTATAAAATTTATTATTTATATATATATATATAATATATATATAAAATATATATTATATTTTAATATATATAATTTTATATATTTATATATAATATAAATATACTTTGGCCCCCGGGTTTTAAGGGAAAATTTTTTCACTCCAGAAGTATTTTTCAGGTGCCAGTACTGACCGTTTATTCCCCAAAAGGAATATTGTGAAGTGTTTTAGTCCATTTCGACCCCAAACTTTACCGAAAAAAAACACCTTAATAAATACATTAAAAAAAATTGGGTTTCCCCAATTTGGAGGAAAACGTTATGCGGGGGTCCATGTATAAAAATATATATTTATATTATTATAATATTTTATATATAATAAAATATATTTATATTTATATATAAAAAATATATAATATAATTTTAATTATATATTTAAAATATTTTATATATTTTTTTTTTCAACCCCCGGCCGTTACCCCACCGAGGCGGGGTGGGCCCAAAAGGGGGAAAAAACGAAAGTTTTCCTTTTACATTTAGTAATATATACAGGAGAAGAGGTTCTAGCCCCTTCCCTCCCGGCATTTTAGTCGCCTTTTTACAAAAAGCTTGG